TCTGACACTGTCGTTTCTGAGGGACTGTGTGCTATCAATCTGTATAAAGGGGAAGGCAGCAGTGGGTATCTTACCTCCCTACTTCACATCTCAGTGTTATGACGGCAGCTCAGTTCAAATTTGTGAAGCCCAAATAACAAGTTAAACACCCAAGAAGTGTTGAAGATTAATATTATTTCACCCTGTAGGGCACACGGCTACTTCAATAGGACAGGGCAGTTCAAACAGTTCCTGACAGCTCCTGTATAAGCAAACAACTAGCATCGAGCCAACCCTCGTTGCATTTGTTTCTGCAAACACAGGGCTGAGCAGCATCTGGTTGAAGGTCACCCTTCTTTCTATGTGCGTTTTCTTTGAAATCATTTGGATCATGATGTGACTTGCAAGAAAAAAAACTAAAGTAGCTGTCATTATTTGCACTTCTGTACAGCCTCATTCCATCTCTACTATGGTATGACAGCAACAGGGAGGTAACAAGCCATGGGGTTGGTGGGCAAAGATGCTTCCCTTTTTTCTTTCCTTAATTCCACTCTAATCCTAGCTGTGTCTGACTTAAGATGTAACAGCCATGAGAGATGAAATGCAGCTCCAGGGCTGCCTTTGTGCCTGCCGGAGAGCCTGATGTGAGTGCACTGAAATAAGGGCATAAAGAAACGTGTGCACTTTTCCATCAAGGAGATCTGGAGGTGCTCCCACCTGAAACATCCCTCATCTCATTGTTAACATGGGACTGTTCACCATGTGCTCCCTGAACCGCTCCCCTCCTGGCAAACCACAGGCACTTAGACGGATCGGTGGTCTCTGAAATACAGTCTAAAGCGTGGTACAGTCAGAAAAAAAAGAAAGCAATTTGGAAAATTACAGAGAACAGTACTTTTTAAACACTTTACTGCTGTATTTGCTTCTGCGTAACTATACTAATCAAGTTTAATGGCTGAAGAAAGAAACAATTCAGCTTTTCTCAACAGTTCCCTAACAAACCACAATTTTTTTTTCCTGTTCAATTGCTAGCTCAAAAAAAGTTACTAAAATGGCTTACTGCAGCCTCACACTCACAACAGCCATTTTCACACAGTCTGCAAGACAGGCATGGGCAGTGCAATTCATAGTGCCTGAGTTCTGTATAGGCTGAGAGATTTGCCCGGAATGCCAGACTCCAGCTCCATTACAGTCCCTGGAGACGTGTAATTACAGCATCTGCTGTGAGATTGGATTCATCCATCCTAACCAAACAATTTAAATTCAGCCCATGTTTAAGGATTTTTCAAGGCTATGGTATAGACACAGCTAAACTACAGCTAATCTGCCTCCCCAGCAATTTTCTTTCCTACTTTACCCATGCCCAAAGCCAATTCTGAGTCACAGTGTGAGTATTTCTTTGAGGATAGTTGAAACTTCCCCCATCAGCTTGACATTTTTAATTGCACAGCATGGTACAGAATTACTAGACTGAGCATAATAAGCCAAGTCAATAAGCCATGTAATACATATTTAACCTGAGGCTTCAGAAATCCGTGTGTTTTTTTTATAGGTGTGCATCTTGTATATGCTTTGAAGCTCAGGACTCCCATAGCTTAAGGGACTTGTACAACTTTATTAGTATTATATAGGCAGTCTTGGGAATTAATGGGACTCACGGGCTCTGTCCACACCTACAATAATTGTCTTGTGGTTGAGAAATGTTCCTTTTTTGCAGTACACGTGAGCATTTAAATATCTCAGAAAAAGAGGAAGAATGGCTCAATTTCATGGCTCAGTTCCAAAGGGGAGACTTCTGACAGGGAAGATCTTTCCATGCATTTACACCTGCAGATGCGGGTGCCCACATCCCCTCTCCGCCTTTTAGGAGCTACTGCCAATTTTTGACACAAAGCAAATTACAGAGAGGAGTGAAGGCACTCTCTGCCCTAGAGAAAGAATGATCTATGTTTTATTCCCATGACCTTCAGATCAAACACGCATTAAAGCTTTCTGGAGATGTTTCAGTTTGGCAGATCATGTGCCCCTCCTTGGGGCTCCTCTCTGCTGGCTCAGCCCCACGAGACGGGGATGCTGCCACTTCCAGCACCTTTGCCAAGACAGAAGCTGCCATCCGCCCCAGTCTGTTGGTTCAGTGCAGTTGACCTCCATCAGTCAAAGTGAGCTGGTTTAGCAAGGTCTCTGCTGTGTTTAAACCATTCAGGTGAATCCCGGTTCATTTTAGCTGTGATAGGTAGAGAGGAGCTCTCATGAGCATGATGTGAGAGGGCAATAACCCACAGGTGAGGACGTGTTTTAGTGATGACGTGTGCAGGTTATGTGAGCCCGGACACGGATCAGCAGGCAGACATTGCCTGGGAGGAGGACATGGTGCAGGAGTTGTTAAGCACTTTGGGGAATTAGTAAATAGAAGTGTCTGGGAGGTCTCAGTCCGGTGCATTCAAATGCTTGTTAAATTTTAATGAAATCAATGGCTTGTTGATTGCCATGGGACTAATATACACCTCAGCTTCAGACTGTGTTTAAGTGTTTTACTGGATTCAGGATTGAAATCTTAATTACTGCTTAGTTTTGTATGTTCTAAAGCAGGTAGATATAGTAAAAGACGAAGGTGATACCACCCCTAACTTGAAAGCTACTAAACTTGCTTTGAAAGAAACAGGTAATTGCTGTTCAATACAGAAAATGAACCATCTGTTTTGAGTAAAAACAGCTTTTCTGGTTTCCTCTACTTGCTCACTTAGGAAGCTCTGCCATTGCTGTGTTTTATTTGTCTTGCTCACCTCTAATTTTCTTCCATTTGTTTTGCTTCCTTGTTTCTCAGTTCTGGGAACTGAAGTTAAAAGGAAAACAGAGACTCTTTGAATCTGCAGCATACGGAATTAACCAGGACAAGCACCTCCCCTCCCAGTCCTACTATTTGCCAGCTGAGTGATAACATCAACAGACCCCTTGTTCCTTGCTCTGTCCCATGTGTTTTCTCTTCTCTCTCCCTCTTTCTTTTTTTTTTAACCTGTCACTAGCTCTAATTTCCCATGCACCAGTGAACAGCAGCCAGTGGTGCTTGATCTAACCACCACACAAGAAAAGCTTTTATACAGACTGCAACTCGAGCTCCTGCAAACACATAGTGAGCTTCCAGCTGGTCAAGGTGCAGCTCTGCTCACATTTCCTTTTATCAGAGAGCTGCAGGGGACTATACTAAGCAGACTATTTACTCTTGTCTGTATGCAGCCTTGCTAGCCTGTGTTATCAGGGGCAACTTATTATATTGGAGGTGGCCACCCAGTAACTAAACATGAGATAAGTTCTCATGGGTAAAAATTATTTGTACTTTGAAGAATATTGTAAGACTATTAGGGGATCATATACAGTTCATTTAGTCAAATGGCCTGGTAGAAGTCAAACAGCAGCAGTCTTTCTGCATCAGTTCTTAGTACTCCCCTTCATTTTTAACCTTTCTTGGCTGCAGAACTGGGATCCCACGTTGGTGAAAAAATAGAAGTGCCAGGACCTAGCTCTCCAAACAGATTTTGCAGGCTATGATAGGAAAGCATAACTATCAGACTTAATGCTGCTTGCTTAATGCTTGGTGCTATTAAAGAGTTATTAAAGAGTCCAATCCTCAGCTAAGGCTGACACCAAGCATTATTCTCTATACAGAGCAGGAAGGAGAAAAAGAACAACACTATGAAAAGGCCAAAAGGAGTAGAGGAAAACTACTAAAACTAAAAACTATGTAGATGTGCCGGAGGAACATGAAAAGGCTTCTAGGGCTGCTTGCTTTAGGCTTTCCTCACAGCTGTCTGCTACTGGTTGCCAGTGAGTTGCAAGGAGGTGCAAGGAGGCTGGGGCTTGGGTGCATGCCACCATCAGGCTGGGGAGACTCTACTTCTCCTTCCCCAGTGGCTTCAAAGGAGGGCAGTGAACCTCTGCCCTCAGCCTCTGTTGTGAGGCACCAGTCCAAGCCTTTGGCAATGTATTTGCCTTTCACTGACACCCTGTATATTTAGCAAAGAAACATAAGCACTTTGCAGCGTGTGGATGTGACAGGCACTCTCTCTGTAAGGTCTTCCCAGGGAGTTCTCATCTAATGCAGCATTCAGTGTTGCATCTCTCGCAACCATTGTAACCATGTTATGTAAGGCTGAATATGCCACCCTCTGAGATGTGCCAGCTGCAAGAACCTCATTTCAGATATGACCCATTTTAAAATACTAATTAAAATTGGATGAGTTTCATACCTCCCCCAGCTTTAGAAAAGAAACATCACAGTGGAAACATACATTTCATGAATACTTGATAAAACATCTGCAGTGAGCATAGAGACCAGACACTTTGGAGCAAGTGAAAGAACTTAGACCAAGACTTTGAAGTCTGACCTTCAGAGTGTGTAACAATGCACGAGATGACAAAGGTGATAACTACCAGAGTGGGACAAAATGTCTGTACTTGAGCATTTCTAGCTACTCCTTGGCATTCTCTACAAACATCTTTCTTATTAGAGGATCTTCATTATAACAGCTTTCCAGCAAGATTATATTTCAAAATTCTGTTTTCTTCCAGACAGAGCACTACAACATCATATTTTATAGCCACACCGACTTCAGTGGTGTCATTTCCATTACAGCAGTGGGAAGGCCTGAGAAAGCTGAAGTGATAGGCATAGCTTCGCTGAAAACTGTGATCCAAACACATTCTTCTGAGCTTTATGCTTGAATCTGAGGACAAACTAATTGGCTAGACAGTGCCAGCAGAACTGGAATCCTAATTTCTTATTTTCCAGACTAAAAATTAGGCTTACTTTCTCCTTATGTCTTTCCAGAATCTAAGCTACTTGTCCCTTCTTCCACCTCCTATTTACTTTCTTGTTATGCTTGAGTTTAGTGAGGACTGGCAGGCTTTCTCCCACCTTTTTCCCAAAGCCACAGTGGCACTCCCAGCAACATAGTTCTGGCACTGGCTCTATGACCCAGCTGTTTGCTTCACAAAGTGCCCTATGTGGTAGGAACTTGCAAGGCTGGGAAAGGGTGAGACATGGCACAGGTGTCTTGAAGACCTTTAGGTAAGGAACAACAAATCTGTTATCTTAGGAGCATTACAGTCCTTATGTCAGAGACAAATACTGATATACTGAAAGCACACATGAAATTTAGGAGGTTCTTCCTTGTGGGATCAATTCAATCATGCTATGCAGTCCTGTGTGCGCTCTGCATGAGAACCTAAAAAAGGCAAATTTCCAAATATAAACTCATACTGGATGCTGGGATTGTTTGTGGAAGAGGATGCAGATGTACAGCCAGTTCACTGCCTAGCAGAGAGCATGTAAATCATGCTCTGCAATTGAAATCTCTCTCAGGACACCGGGGAATTTTCCAAACTGAGTGCTGCAAGAGGTGAACATGGAGTGGTCCAATATGAGTTACAACCAGTGCTGTACATATTGCAGAAGTCACCTTGCTTCCCTCGTATCCCGGATGAAAGACACTGTGTTCGACCTGTTAACACCAGTATTGCTGGATGATCTTGAGACTGACTCAGTACTTCCTTCTTACCTGTCTTTTCCAACCTCTTTCAAATCCTTTTTCCTAGCTGTCCAGAAGTTCTCAACTTCTCTGTCCTCTCTTCACACCTGAAGGCAGTTGATTTCCTCACCTAATGGACATATTTCTCAGTCTTTACGAGTTTCTGATTGTGTAGTTTGCCTAGCTTGGATTCCAGAACTGAACTCAAGTGCCAAGTCCTTGGTGAAGCAATGCTGCTGCAGTGCAACTTGTACAGGAGCACTGTCTCTCACTAGTTTGCCCTTCTCACAGGCCTGCATGTCCTGCTGAGTCATACATGTCCTGGGGATGTCCTTTGTGCCCTGGATGAAGTGATTCATCCTCATCTGTGTGTGTGTGCCACCACACCAAGTGACGTGCTTTCTGCAGACTGGCGTGGCACAGGGGTGGTAATGTGAGGTGTTCTTCCTAGTTCTCAGGCTTTGGACTGTGTGGAGGACAAAGCTTTGGCTCTTCACTGAGCTGGGTGGACTGTGCTTCTTGTAACCTTGCTGAGGTGTCTTCAGGGCAGGTGTGTTTTTCCTGCTTAGGGACCCAGTGCAAACCACATGAGCTATCTGCAGGCCTTGAAGCACAGGGTCCCTATGGGTCTCAGGTGATCTGTGGGGCCTCAGCTGTATAACTCAATAAGCTCAGTACAGCTGTATAACCATGGCAGTGAGTTTTACACATATCTAACCTTTTCTGTCAAAGATATGGAAGGTGATTTATCCATGCAATCTGTGCATAGTTTTGCACTCCACGTGTTACTCAAGGCTCATTTCCCAAATGCTGCAAAACGCCCCAAAATATCACTGATCTCCCTTGAATACCTTGCATTTTATTGCTTAACTATTTCACTTGACTCTGATTAATTCGCCGTAGTTATTTTGAACATGTTTCTTCACTGCACTGACTGCACTGTAACATGCAGATACCTGAATCGTGGCATGATTAACATTGAACAGTTCCCAAAAGCCAGCTCTGCTGCTGGTAGAGAGATCTGAGTAGTTATCTGGGTGACCTAAATTGTCATGAGCTTTGGCTGCTAAGAGAAAGTGAATAAGAGATAGTATTTTGCAATCCTGCTTTCCCATGTGGTAGCTAAAAATGGCTCCAGCCAAACAATTCAGACTCCAGGTTTGTTCTGGGGTGTGGTGAGTTGTATATTTGCGCATTCTCACAACAGTGGAAAAAGAACTCTTTCTCTGAATGGCTACTTCACTGAATATTAAGAGGATTGGGCAAGAACTCTATCATCCTGATGAAGGAAACATTTGCTTGTCTTGTTTGCCCTCTGCCAATGTATATTTTCTGAATGGTTTCAGACTGAAGGGTTTGCAATTACTGTTGCCACATCCTCCAGTACACCAGCCACAGATGTTCCACTGTCAGCAGAGCAGCTGCATTGAAAGAACACCTGGAAAGTTCAGGGCATCCTGAATTTTTACTGATAACATGATGGATCAGTATATTTCAGATTTTCAGTAGTATTTTCTGCACCCAAGGGATGCCAATTAGTGACTTCCAATAAGATCAGTGTATAACACCTCAGAAATACAAAGGAAAAGAAGATTGTACCTAACATACTAAGTGAGTTCTGCATGGCTTTGCACCTAGGTTTTTTACAGCACTTATTTTTCTTTTTCACAGTAATGTATATATGAGGACATTAATTGTTTAAGCAAAATAGCAAGGAGTAAAGGGAATTTTCAAAACATCATTTTGAGGTACTGAAGGGGGAGAGGAAGAGATTTTAGAATGTACCAGAGAAAGTCAAACCAAAATTCTCAGTATATTTAGTCATATTTCCTTTTATGCTGGGGAATGACCATTTTTTACTATAAGGGTACATCAAATCCCAGAGCCCATCATATTCCAGTGATCAGGGAAGTTGTCAACCAAATATTTGTGTAGTTAATGGGCTGTACTCCCATTTCACTGCCTGAAGCAAAGATAAAAGGCTGGATAAACTCTTTATTTTGGGAATCACAGAGATAATGGAGGGACGAAATAAAAGGTTCCTTTCTTACCAAATTAACTTTTTTTTTTTTTTTTTTTTTTTTTTGAGGCAGCATCCATTTGTGTTGCTAAGTAGTAAAACCAGTCAGAAGAGCAGTTCATTCAGGCCAATGGTCTGTCTGACTCTAGAGAACTTCTAACATTTTGTTTCCAATACCTTGGCTTATCATAGAATCACAGTGTTTCAGGGCTTGGAAGGAACTTCAAGAGATCAATGAGTCCAACTCTGCTTCTAAAGCAGGTAGTCTACAACAGGTCGCACAGGTAACCTTCCATGTGGGTCTTGAATATTTCCATAGAAGGAAACTCCACAACCTCTCCAAGCAACCTGTTCCAATGCTCTGTCACCCTTACCATAAAGAAGTTCTTCTGCATGTCAGAACAGAACTTCCACATTCAAGTTTTAGGCCATTACTCTTTGTCCTATCGCCATGCACCACTGAGAAGAGCCTGGCCTCATTCATTTGCCTCCCACCTCCCTTTAGATATTTGTAAGCATTTATGAGATCCAACCTCAGTCTTCTTTTTCCCAGACTGAACAGACCCCAGTTACTCATCCTTTCCTCAAACAGGAGATGCTCCAGTCCCTTTATCATCTCTGTGGACCTCCACTGTATCCTTGTCTTTTTTGAATTGGATAGCCCAGAACTGGACACAGCAAATGTTCTATGAATGTGTAACATTCAGTTGTGATTCATGGAATAACAAGGGGTCCCTGCAATGCCAAATCCAATATTCTGCTTCCTAATTGTGGTTGTTCTTGTCCCTTTGAGAGATCAGTTTTTACACTTGCTTTTATTCCTCTTGGAAAAAAAAAAAAAAAAAAAAAAAAAGTTGTAGTCTTACTTCTCCTTTCACTGAAATGATAGAGTGCAGTCAGATGCCTCAGTGGCCACAGACTGTGCTGCTGCTTTTCAGAAGAAAGCTCTCAGCACGGTCAAATTCTAAACTCATTGAAACTAAACATTTCAGCGTTTCTAGTTTTGACTTTGTACATAAATAAAATAAAATCCATTTATATTCAGAACTACCTGAATTTCCATGGTGGAAGTTTTCTTTTCCTAAGATGAATATTTTATTTTCTGATAGTTCTGAAATAAAAGTTTTGACTGTCTTGACAGAGTGATGTATTCCATGTCAATAATTAGCAATTCTGTGATTATTTACTATTTAAGAGGAATCCAAATACTGTGAAGAGTTTATCAGTGTGGCCTTTTTCTTTGGCTCACTGCCTAATTAGGAACATGCCTCTGATCAGTTTCTACATCAACAGGTTTTGGTACTTCTGTTAAGTAAACACATGGAAGTGGATATACATATCACAGTGACTATTAAATCATTCACATCTGCAGACTCCAGAACTATTTGTGTTTGCAATATTCATATGAATTGTCAGCTTAACAGTGTTAATGAGGGGAAATCCACAATACAGCAGCTGTCTGCCTGCTTTTCTCCCATGGTGGTGAAACTCTCCTAGGAAAGTCACTGAGGAATTCACAAGATAAATTGCTCCTGATGGGCTAGATATACAACAGTGTGGATAGAGATATGATAAAGTAATGATAAAATCGTCATTTAATGATTTAGAAAGTGATCAAGTTTTAATATTGTCTATCTCTGTCTCTGTCTGTCTATCTACATATTCTTTCGCAGGTCAGTATTGCTTTGCAGAAAAGTGCCAGGGTTTTCTAACTCTGGAGAAGAGAAGAGAGTTTACACGTGGCTATGCTTTGTGCTCAGGGCTCTTAATGATATTTTTAGATTGTATGAACTTTCTACTGGTTCTTAGATCAGAAAATGGATGAGGGACATATATTTTCATATGGGTCTGCCAAAAATAATAAATTAATTAATAAGACGTAAATAACAATAGTAAAAATAAACAAAAAGTAATAAAAAAGGAGCAGTGTTGATGCACTTCATAATTCTGCTGCATGCTTGGAGAGAATGGAAATATTTGTCATTGTGAACTGTGCTCCTATTGATTTTTTTTAAAGCTAGCTTGAAATCCAGACAATCATTTGATGATCTAATGTACTTTCCCTCCAGCACTGCTCATATAGAAACATTAAAAGAATAGTGAGTGCTTGTTCAGAATATAAAATACTGAAAGAATATTGAGCCTATATTTTCAAATACGGTATTTATAATCAGAAATCCAAACCAAAAATCTCAGAATTTTGAATCACCAGCTACAGGAGACAGATTACAAGAAGAGGAGATCTTATCCTGCATTTCTGCAAACTTGCCTCTCAAACTGGCCTTTCTCCACTATATCTATTAAAATCCTTTCTTACTTTTGCAAACCTTGGTCCTGCGCTTGTTGGCACTGAAGAACTTTCGCAACTCTTCATGCCTTTAATGAGGACTGTGGTTGAGAAATAACGTTGCCCAATTAGAGATTAAGCTATCTAGCAGTATTTTGAGAATGTTGGCTTCCTCTAAATGTTTGTACTTTTTGGCTTTTCCATAGCTGTCTGTCATTTCTTTATATCTTGTAGAATGCAAACTGCTTTCACTGCAGAAGTATTTTTGGTTCATGTTCATGCAGTGTCAGACAGCGTGGGCACTCTGGGGCACAATGCCCATGGGTGTGGAAAGCACCATCCTACAGCTTTGGGTGGAAACTGAGTTTTCTGGATGTGCTCACTGCACAGAACAGCTGCCTGCTTGATTCCCACAAGTATTAAAATTTGTTCCAGTTAAAAGTTATGTCCTTCACAGCTTTAGGTCTTTGCCTAAAGAAAAGAAAAACAACTAAATTGTTGATTTTTCTTCCCCAGAAAGTGTGTGGATTTTCTAAAGCCAATAAAATGAAACACTGATCCATTTAGCCCAGCATCTTATCTTCAAAAGTAACCAGTTCATGAGACTTCAGAAAAAGAATTAAATTTATACTAAAAAGAGAAGAACTCTTAGGTCTAAGAGCTGAAGAAAGGAGCTGAACAACTCTCGGAAAGACACTGCTTAATTTTTATTAGACATTAATAAGAAGTATTACAGTCGTATTTAATAACCTATTATTATTACAAACCTTTGTTTCTATAAAAAAATAGACTGTTATTTTGTCCCTATAATCTCTTACATGACATAACATCACATATCTTCAGTCAAAATGTTTTTTCTATTCCTTTGATCAGCAATTCCCTTTTAAAATATCTCCTCTCAGCTCTGTCTTTGATCATCTTTGACAGACTGCTACAGTAAGGAGGACTAGTGCGTGGAGAAGAGCAAGAGAAATCTCAGGATACAAAACATATTTATATGAAGTACAACATAGATGTACCTCCAAGCAGAAAGTCAAATAAAATGATATATATGCTAGTGCAAGGAAGTGGCAGAAGCAAGGAAAATTGTCTTGTGTCTCTCTGGTGCTGCAATTTATATTTTACCTTGAGGTTTCAACAAACAGCTTCTCCATAAACCTTGATGGCTAGAAATCAATAATATAGATTTCATCTGCAAACAGATACAATCTCTTTTCCTTTACGGGAGGAGCAGCTAATACCTCAGGCAAATACAGTGCGTGACTCTCAGGTGCGCCTAGCATATGCCATGGGGAGCATTGCATAACAATGCAAACACCTTTATTTTCATAAGCCCAGTGAAAACTCTAAGAGGGAAGATTGTTGGGGAAGGACAAATTCAGGAGCAGGGTATAAAATTACTTATTCATAAACAGTGTATGAAAATGATTTAAGTAAGATTCTAGGAAATGTTAACGGAGGAGTATTATCTGCCAAGAAAGACAGGTCAGTACATCCCGTGATTAATCAACAAGTCATGGGCTTTATTTTAAGTCATAGAAACACAGAATCGTAGAATCAGAACCATAGAATCACAGAATCAAATAAGAGTATAGATTGGATGTGGGTTGCAAATGCTGGCTCATGCTCAGCTTTTCATCCATCAAGACTCCAAGTCCTTCTCTGCAGGGTTCCTCTCAACATGTTCTCCAAATCTGTATGCATATCTGGGATTCTCTCAACCCAAGTGCAACACCTTGCACTCAGCCCTGTTGAACCTCAGTAGATTTGTGTGGGCCCACTTTTCAAGCCTGTTTCAGTCCCTCTGGATGGCATCTCTTCCTCTTGTCATATCAACACCACCACTCAGCTTGTTGTCATCAGCTAACTTGCTGAGAACATGCTCAGTTCCACTAGACATAGACAGTCTCACTGTCTATGTTATTGATAAAAAAAATTGCAGAGCACCGGTCCCAAGACAAACCCCTGGGGGACACCACTCACCACTGGCTTTCACTTGGACATTGAGCCATTAACTACAACCCTCTGGTTGCAATCTTCCATCCGTTCCTTTTCCTTCAAATAGTCCATTCTTCAAATCCATATCTCTCCAATATAGAGATAAGGATCTGGTTGGGGACCATGTCAAAGGCCTTGCAGACTTCCAGGTAGATGACATCAATTGCCTTCCCTTTGTCCACTGATGCCATCATTCCATCATAGGAGGCCACCAGATCGGTCAGGCACAATCTGCCCTTGGTGAAGCCATACTGGTTTTCTCAGATCACCTCCTCTTCCCACATGTGCCTTAATATCTCTTCCAGGAGGATCCATTTCATGATCTTCCCAGGCACAGAGGTGAGACTCTCTGGACTGTAGTTCTCCATATATTCTTTCTCCCATTCTTAAAAATGGGAGTGATGTTTCCTTTTTCCAGTCACCATAGAATGTGTCTGATGGCCATGGCCTTTCAAATACAATGGACAGTGCTTGGAAACCATATCAAACAGTTCCTTCAGGACCCTAAAGTACATTGCAGATTTTCACTTCCTATACAGTTTTATTTCAGACTGATACTGAATGAAATTTCTATCTTGCTCCACTTTTCCCCCCTTTTTTTTGTTTCTTTTTTTCTTCCTGTTTTTACTTACAGTTTGCTTTAAGAGACAGAAACTTGCCCTTTAGCATCAGTATGTGATTTCTCCATTTTGATGTAATTTCAAGTTCTTTTTGTCTCATTTTTCCATTTGGAAATAAAGATAGTATTGCAATTTGGGGGGATATTAAAAGTTCCTGGGTTATTGAATAGTGTTTTGAGACAGACTTGTATTTTGGAAAAGCAGGAATAAAGCAATATCTGGGGAGAGAACTTATACCTGTTAAAAAAAATGTATGTCTACAGATGTAATTGTCTTTACTTCCTCGTATGATGCAAACTGTTTTAAACGTGTTCTATCACTGTACGTGGTCTTTTCGACCACAGTATAATTTTGAAAACTGTAAACAAATGGTTGTTTCAAAGTGTCTTTCACTGAGTCACACATTAACAGCTGCCTAGTTGTACATTCACATAGTAAGATATTATCAAATTTTAGACTTAATATGAAAGCTTCCTTTTCAGTGCATTTCCACTGAAATTACTGGTACACAGCTTTCCAGGAGAAAAATCAACGAATCTTTTTATAGCACTGTAATAGCTTGTAAGGTATTTCTCTGACTGGAATGCTAACAGATATTAAATTTTAATATGATTGGACTACAGAAAGTATATTCATATGCTGAAGCTTTAAGACTAAGGGGATACAGTGCCTTCAGTCTGTAGTACAGAATGTTGTGCTCTAACGGTAAAACAAGAGTTCTCTAAAACCCTTCTCACAGCAGTTCTGGCCTGTACACGTAAGGAAAAAATTGTTATGTACTGGATGTCTTTTCAAAATATTTCTTCATCTTTACTGTTCACTTCAACAAGTAATAATTATATTCAGCTTTTCCACGGAATTTTTCTGTTTGCTTTAAACTGAAAATGAGCTTATTTCTCTGTGGGCCTCGTGCTCTGGATGTACAGCTTCCCCTGCCATGTGCTGTGTTTTGCTTTGACACGTGGCTGTTTCTCCAGGGTAAAAATCTATTGATTTGTATAAATAATCTGTGAATTGGGTGCAGAGACAAAACCTTTAGTGAGAAAATTTATTTAGAACTTCTGTAAAAACACAAAGTCAATAGCATTCATGCTTTCTTGTGAGATACTCTTCTCAGAAATTTTTTGACCCGTTTTACCATTTAGATATCTGGGTTTACGTGCACTAATGACTCACACGTCCTTCCCCTGTTCAACACGTTTACTATTGTTTTTAGAAACAGCTCTTTCCTTTTCATTCTCAAAATACAAAGGTTGTTGTAAGCAAGCCTTGCCATTCCAACAACTGCTTTTTTTTTTTTTTTTTTTTTTTTTGGCTTAAGGCCCAGGTCTTTTCTGAGATAGAATTAAACTGTTTGATCTTTCAGATTTGTCTCCTATTTTGCGCTCTATCAAAGGGATATACCACATGTCACCACAGCTCAGTTAGCACTGCTTTAAACTGCATGTTGGGATTTTAAAACAGCCTTAAGAAAGGTAAACGAAAGCAGCAGACAATGAAGAACTAGACAGCCACTCTCTCCGTAAGTTAATAACACATCAAATGTTGAGTTTAACTAACTTGTCTATTTCTAAAGAAATGTGTTGCATATGTTTCACACCTTGTCTCCACACCAGGGTACCACTGTTACACCGTATTTCCTTAGACCCATGTAGCCTGGGGGTACTCTACATCTTTTTCCACACAGACCAATGTCTATATTGGTTCTGCAGTGTTTGCTTGGGGGAACTCTGAATTTTAAATATTCTGGTTTCAACAAACTGAAGCTCCTTCTGGTAATGCATTAATGGGGATTTTTTGAAACAGTAGCCTCAATAAAGGACTGAAAAAAAATCACAATCACTTCCTGAAAATCCCTGTGGTGTTATGGCTTCAGACACTGAATTCATGATGATTTATTGTATTATGAATGTCACTGGAGGGTAGGATTCCTCTTGTCTACCTTTAACTTGGCAGAGGTTAGAGTCCAGACTAATCTAGACATCTACCTCCAGTAGTGATTCATTTCCCATGCCCAAATCCATGTAAAGATGGGATAGGTCACTGACTGGAACAGCTAGCCTGGGATGGGGGGTTAAAGTCAGCTGAGATGTGTTGTGCTGCTAGATATGGTATGGATATGGATATGGTCCTTGTAATAAAGCAACACGCCTTGGCTGTAAACTGCCCACAGGCTGGGCTGCATCACTTCTCAATGGGAGCAGGGTGAGAGCACGCACCTGGACAGTCACAAAGCAGCTCAGGGACAAGAGCTGGCATGTTGCACTGCTGCAGCCTCGTTGTGTGGCTGAACCCATAGTACCAGCATCTGTTTGTAAAACTGTCTCTGAGATACTTCTGATAAAGAGAGTTATAGCTCTGCATAGTTGTGAGTGCTTTTGAAATGTTACACCATTTCAAATAGCTCAAGTTATTAACAAATATATTAGCAGGCCTTCTCTTGGCCACAGTATCATGTGGCCTGAAAAGCCAAACAGGCAAAACAAAAAGGCAATATCTGGTCCCTGCAGCCTCATTAAATTAATTTCCACATCAGCTTTTTTTTTTTTTAAAAAAAAAACAAAAAAAAACCAACAACTTCAGAAGCTCATCACACACACAATAGTGGACCCATCCTGACTATCTATAATGAATTCAAGGAGTCCAGGTGATCTTTCAGTTCGTCCCTGATGCATTTTTCTTGTATTGCCACACAACTGAAAATCCCATTACCACAGCTACACCTTATCCTTTCCAGAGTCTGGGAGTTTTCTATTTCATCTCATTCTTTGTATTTTTAATTGTTTGACAATGCTTTTAAACTGTTTTCTTTTTCACCTCATTGTGCAGCTACACTGACTTATCTCTCGCCTCTGATGGATTTGTTCTGAGACAGAACACTACTCCCAGTGGACTACAGCCATTTGATTAAATATTTTGTTTCCCGTTTGTCATCTTTTTCTCCATTTGATTTCACTCAGAGTTGTCTGTGTTTACTTCCTGTTCTGGTAATTGATTTTTTCTTCACTTTATGTTTCATTCTTGATCATATGGACGGAGTTGTAACCCTGATTGCTCATCCACCATCAGTTTGTCATCAGCTATGTCTTTGAGTTCAGTCACAACAAGCAGAAGCACAAGGGAAAGCCACGAAGGCTTCAGGAAATAAACATCATGGATCCTTAGTAATAATAAATACTCGTACTAGGCAATGTTTATGTTTTGCAGTCATGTCCAGGACCTTGTCATACTACATACTGTATACACCTACAACAAAACACAGCACTTGTCCATGATAAGGCACACGATGTACTCTAAGTCCCTTGAATTACTTCTCCACTGAAACATGAGCTTGGATGAAAAACACATGTGAAAGAAAATATGAGGTGGAGGACTTTATAGGGTCCTTCTGTTTCATGTTGAAATTCAGTATCTGGACAGTCCTAAGTGTTTGGATATTTTTGATCTGGAAGTAGGAATTTAGGAATTATACATCAAAATGTGAAAGTAAGAGAAAAGAAGTATTCCTAATCGGTAAACAGACAAAACTAGGACAGATTAAACTCAGGTAGATGTGGCTCCTTGCATCGGAGAGCCCAACTCTGAAAACCCATTTCAGTTTGTGTTTGCAGATGAACCTAATAGACTAATGTTACTGTTTAATGCTTGCTAACTATGTGTGTGATAAAATCTCCAATTCTTAAAATTGCTTTCATGCAAAAACTAAATATTAATTGAGGACTTGTCCCAAAGAGATGAGCAGCAAGCTCCATCTTTCCAGCAAGCTCAGGAGGTATCTTGCAGCTGGGTCCCAACCTGAACCACTTCAAGTTTGTTTATTTTTTCAGTCCTGCTCCTGCCAGAACTGGAATAATGTGCTTTTATTTGGCCACACTGAAGTTCCTTGAAGATTTAGACTGTATTTCAAGATTTGTAATTTGCTGTTTGCTTTTCCACATGTTACACTCAGAGCTCTTTTCAGAGAAGTAAAATGCTGTACAGTAGCTCTGAGAAACTTATAATTTAAGTGAGCTAAAGACAAACCAAGGATGATGTTACCATCAAAGATGGTGAGAGAGCAAATAATGAAAAAGGACATGCTAAGATAACATGCACAGAAACAGCTGTGTACATGAACATAAACTGCACAGTTGATCTCTAATATATACAGTAAGTATAGTATAAGTATATATTATTATATATAGTATTCTGCTTAACTGTGCATTTCCTTCATTTTTGTCTATTTGCATGTTTAGTTTTAAGTTTCCTTGGGGTGGAGGCAGATACAGATTGAACAGGAAGATGTATTCTGGAAATATTATTCAGGAAAAAAAAATGACTACAGGAATGAGTAGTGCCTTGTGTAACCTAATCAGCACATAAATGAGCTCACTACAGAGGTAAACACAGAAGAGTACTGTCACAGAGGACACACGATGAGCAAGTCAAACTGATGAGTAACAGTGGAAGTGGCTCAGACTCCTCACCAATGAGAAAAATAGTGATGCAAGAAGAGGCTGGGTTAACAGAAAAAAGCAAGACAAACATTCCCATCAGCTTGCTCAGTTGTGCCTGCTTCTTCGCATGTGATAGTATGTCTTGCTTCTGGTCAATTCATCTAATGAATAATCCCTTGTTTTCATTGGTAACTGTCAGTGATTACTGCCCTCTGCTTCTTACTGCAGCCAATGAAAAATAATATGAAATTGGTACTCCTGTGGGGCTGTTGACTGAGGAGCAAGCTTGAAATCCAAACAATCAAAGCTTTTAGTTTTTCAAATCAAATTAATTGCTTAGGCATTCCAACTCCTCCACAAATGTGCAAACTAATTTCACAGGAATTTATGCTCATTGAGGAAGTGAACTGATTTCTAGATAGGGGTACTTATGAGTAACTTTCATCCAGAGGCTATTTTGTTTCTGATGCTCTTTTTATGGTGTATCACCAGCTTTATTGGCTACAATATCCTCTTTCATAAGGACCTCCCTGGACTACACTGTTATATTGTTTCCTGTGAACGAGCAGAATGTTCCCAGTTTCATTTTGCAACGCTCTACTTCAGTCAGTTGGTCTCTTCTCCTTTCTACAAAAAATATGACCCAGTCACCAAAAACCTTCAGTATTTAGAGGTGCCTCTGAGAGTAATGCTACCACTGTATTTACTTGCTTGGCTGCCGCTGACAATGACTTTTGTGTTTGTCAGAAGCTTTGCGATATTCTTTGTTCTGAATGCAGCAACATCTACAAACCACATGGAAAGGCCTTTTCCCAATCATTAAGTGTTTGTTTTCAGAGTTTCTTTATAATGCTTGCTTACTACTGAGAGGTAAACAAGAAGCAGTGAGTCAATAAACTGTGAAGTTTAAAAAGCTGCTTACACCAACCAGTCCAAGAACAGGAGCTTGCATGTCCTCGTTTCTGGAAGAAATCCACCAGGCTCCATAAAATGTAAAAAAATGGACTGTAGGAGGGGTCTCAATATAGTAATGATCTTAAATGCTAATCTGGGCTGTATCGCAAGAATACCAGTACTCATGGATAAAAAGAGTGGATACATGAGCCAGCAGCATGTGTTTGCAACCCCAGAAATCAAACATATCCTGAGCTGCACCAAAAGAGGGGAAGCCAGCAGGCAAGGGCGGTGACTAGCAAGTTTTCACCAGTATTGCTGCCCTTGAGAGAGAGGAGCTGTCATAGCCCATGAATATCACAGAAATCATAGAATAGCTTGAGTTGGAAGGGACCTTCAAGACAATCTAGTTCCAATCCCCGTATCTTGAATAGGGACACCTTCTACTAGATCAGGCTGCCCAGGGCCTGCATGGGACCTGCATTCAGGACATCAAGAAGAGGATACCAGATATGACAGAGCAGATGTCTGCTATTCCCTCCTGGTCTTTGGTTGGAGACTGGGACAATCCAAGAATGCTGGATGAGATGTGACTGACCAGGAGAGGTAAGAATAAACTAAGCAGCAAGCCGGGCTTTAAATTAAAGCTGCTAGGGAACTGGTGGTACTGCTGAGTGACAGAGAGCCAGGGAACACTGTCACTTTAGGAAGGAGTGGGATTTGTCCTGGAAGTTTGTGGGAGGGTTCCTCTAGGGAGGTAATGCATCTGAAAGCCCAGCTGAAGTGTCTCCACACCAATGCATGCAGCATGGGCAATAAGCAAGGGGAGTTAGAAACCATGGTGCACTTGGAAAACTATGATCTTATTGCCATCACAGAAACACAGTGGGATGATTCTCATAACTGGAACACCACCACTGAGGGCTATCAGTTTTTAGAAGGGATGGACAAGGTAGGAGGAGTGGGGGTGTTGCCCTTTGTGTTAAAAACTGAATAGACAACAAGGAGCTCTCTCTAAGAATTGGTCAGGAACAGTTTGAGAGCCTGTGCATTAAAATTAGAGATGGGACCAATGAAGGACAGCTGGTGGTTGGAGTTTAATACAGGTCTTCTGATCAAGGGGATCCTGCTGAGGAGGCCTTCTGGATTCATCTGCAAGAAGTGTTGCACTCACAGGCTCTTATTCTGATGGAGGAGTTCAACCACCTGGATATCTGCTGGGAAAACAACATGGCCAGCTGCAAGTAATCCAGGAGATTTCTGAAATATATCAATAATAAATTTCTGGTTCTGGCATTGGATGGATTGACCAGAGATGAAACGTTGCTGGACTTGGTGCCCACCAGTTTGGAGGAGATTGTTAAAGACATTAAGAATGGAGGCAGCCTGAGGTGCAGCAACCATGCCCTGGTTGAGTTTGTGATCTTGAGGAACGTGGGCCTGGCAGAAAGTAAAGTCAGAACCCTGAACTTCAGGAGAGAGAACTTCAAATGTTTAAGGAACCATTGGATGAGATTTCCTGGGAAGCTGTCCTCAGGGAGAAAGGTGTGGAGCAAAGGAGCCTTTCTGAGAGCATGAGCTCTCCATCCCTCAGAACAAGAAAGCAGGCAGAGGAGGCAGGAAACTGGCATGGCTTGGCAAGGATATACTGCTATACTGAGGGAAAAGAGGGGCAAGTATAGGCAGTGGAAACAAACATATGTCAAGTGCGAAGAATACCAGAATGCTGTCTAGACATGCAGAGATAGGATCGGGAAAGCCAAGGCATAGATGGAACTGAACTTGGCAAGGGATGTTAAACACAAGAAGGGGTTCTATAGGTACATTGGTCAGAAGAGACATGCCAAAGAGAGTGTACTTCCTCTCATAAATGAGAAAGGAGAACTGGCTAAAATAGATATAGAGGAGGCTGAGGTACCCAGTGAGTTCTTTGTCTCAGTCTTCACTGGCAGACAGGATTCTCATATTTCTCTCGTCCCTAAACATCGCCTCTCTAAACCTCACATTCCTAAACCTCTGGGAGGCAACTAGAGGAGCAAACTTCCCCCCCACCATAAGGGCATAAGTCTGAGATCACCTCATGAGACCAAATGTCCAGAAGTTCCCTCTGCACTCAGTACTGGTGAAGCCACACCTTGAGTACTGTGTTCAGTTTTGGGCCCCGCACTACAAGAAAGGCACTGAAGCCCTGGAACTTGTTTAGAGAACAGCAACAAAGCTGGTTAGGGATCTGGAGCACAAGTCTTGTGAGAAGTGGCTGAGGGCACTGGGATTATTTAGACTGGAGGAGGCTCAGGGGAGACCCCATTGCTCTCTACAACTACCTGAAGGGAAGTTGTGGCAAGATCTCTTCTCCCACGTAATTAGCAATAGAACTAGAGGGAATGGCCCCAAGTTGGGCCAGGGGAGGTTCAGGCTGGATGTTAGGAAAGACTTATTCTGAAAGGGTGGTTAGGTATAGAACAGGCTGCCCATGGAGGTGGTGGAGTCATTGTCCCTGGAGGTGTTCAAAGAACACTTAGATTTTATAATTAGGGACATAGTTTAGTGGGAAATATTGGTGATAGGTGTACAGCTGGATTGGATGATC